CCCCAAAACCCCAAAACCCCAAAACCCCAAAACCCCTTTAAAGAAAAGATACATTGAAAAATACTTATAATTTCTAAATTAAGTAAGCAATGGTTACCACAATTTTTGCCACGATCTGAATTTGATCTAACATTGTACTAAAGAATGGACAATAATCCCCCAATTGGCGAAGCTGCTGAAAAGATTCAGTATGACAATACTACATTCCATATTCTTCCTTGATTATTTCCTAGAGTTGCAGCGATTATTTGGGGAAATCAGGTTAAACTCTCTGGTAATTTCTCTCAAGTAAATTATTTAGAGAGCTCTAAAAAGATTGCTAAGAATATTTATAAATTCGATCAAAGTTTAAAGTTTAACTACCCCTACATATATTTCAAAGAGAACCAAGAAACCCCAGGAAGAGGCGACTCTGACGCCACAATTGCTACATCCAATGAAAGCGTTAGTAATTCGTCTCAAAGAGATGCCGAGGACGCTGTAGATGCTGAGCATCAAGAAAAATATCATGAAGAACAAGAGAGCGAAGAAGAGAATGAAATGGAAGATCAAAGTAAGATTTTAAAAGCTTTCAATTAAAAATCAGAAGAATCTTTGTATTATGTTTTGTGATTTAATCGAATACAACTGTAGAATCTGAAGACAGCTCAAGTTTAGAATCAAGCCAAGAGGAAAACAGCAAATCAAATTCAACCAGCACAACTAGTTCCTTTGATATAATAGAAGATAATAAATCAGAGTCTAGCTATGATGATTGTTACCACCATCCCAATTTTTTAGACGAAGAGTACTTCCAAATTAGCGGTAGCCAAGAAAGAAGTGACAACTCATCATCAATTCCTTGATCTTCGCTATCTGACTCTGATGATTCTTAGTAAGTGCTTTCCATAAGATGATAGTAATGAAGAAGAAAAGGAATATGAAGCCCAATATTATGACCAATATGGGGACAGCCAAGAAGATAGTGAAGAAAAGAGTCTTTCATCAGATAGTGAAGAAGAGAGTCTTTCGTCAGATAGTGAAGAGGAGAGTCTCTCATCAGGCAGCGAAGAAAAGAGTCTATCATCAGACAGCGAAGAGGAGGGTCTATCATCAGACAATGAAGACAACAGCTCAGAATCTTCAAGTGAAGATTCTTTTAGTGATTCAGAGGATCATTACATCCAGAAATCTTGGTAATTTATGTTAGAGAAGCTCTTAATCGGGCTTAATTTCTCTCAATTTATCGTTCTTAAATGGTGTGTATTACTCTTGTTTGTCATAAATTTAAATTTTTGGAATATTCTAATCCAACTGAGATCTTGAGATTTGGGGTTTTGGGGTTTTGGGGTTTTGGGG